GGGTGCTCACCGCGACTGCCTCTCTCTGTCTCTGTCTCTCTGTCTCTCTCTCTCTGTCTCTGTCTCTCTCTCTGTCTGTCTGTCTCTGTCTCTGTCTGTCTCTCTCTCTCTCTCTCTCTCTCTCTCTCTCTCTCTCTCTGGACCACGACCCCAAAGCACGTCTCCTCCGACTACCAGCTTGCGTTTATGAACCCACACGTTCACTGAAAACGTAAGTGTGTGAATGTCGCTCACTTGTAGGTGTGCGAATATCTATTCGTACACTTACGTACACTAAGTGTACGAATGGATATTCACCGATATTCACTTACCTACAAGTGAGCGACATTCACACACTTGCGTTCCTAGAGTACTCACACACACGCCGGAAGATGTGTTCCCGCGTTTGTCCTAGAGATCTAAAGGGATAGTAAAAAACTGTTTTTTTGAGTTTTAAACTCAGTAAAAAACAGTATTTTACTCGGACAGTTTTCGGTTTTTTACTCAATAATAGCTGTAAACCGATTATTTCTGCAAGAAGCACCCGCACCCCCCAAAAATAAGTTCTTAGACCAAGTAAACTGTACTTGATCCTTGATTTTTCAAGCTTTTATGTCTTCATGTCAGTGATATGTACCTGAGAAATCAATGATCAAGTACAAGTCACACTGATTTCCACTACCACTACCCAACTAGAGAGTCTATCTTTACCCAACCCATCGCATTTGTTATAGGACAATCAGTAGCGTGCTCCGAAAACTCAAGTGTCATATAATATCACACTTTTAAGTGTAGTGCCATGGTGTTCTCCTACTGGTTTAAGTGTGGGACCAAGGTGTACTGCAGTTTAAAGTGTAGGAGAGGGGGCAATAACTCTGGGAATCATGTGTACACACACACACACTCCGGCCCGGGATCAGCGGGAATCAATGAGAATCACGACGGGAATCATGGAATTATGTGCACACTTAAATTTATAGTTATTGCCCCCACGAGTGTAGGACTGGACGTGTCCTACAGTTGAAAGTGTAGGACACCTCTTGTACTACACTTATAGCTGAGGTACAATGGTGCCCTACACTTTTAACTTGAAACACGTCTGTCCTACACTTTAAACTGCAGTACACATTGGTCCTACACTTATAAGTGCAGTTAAATCAAAGGAGTTTAAAAAAACATCGTACTCGGAACTAATTTGCTAACAAGACGAAAATTCAAAAAAACAGTTTTTTACTGTTTTTTACTCGGTTTTTTACTGGTTTTTTACTTTCACTTCAAAAATACGGTTTTTTTGGATCTCTAGTTTGTCCTAGTGAAGAAAAGTTAGCCAAGAGACGCTCGCGGTGTGTGCGCGAAATGTGTACTGTGTGTGAGTGCGAGAGAGAGACGGAGGCTCACCTTTGAGGAAGGCGCGCTTCGACGGAGCACCACCACGCTGCATGATGAAGCCTTAATTTGATCCCCCTTGGGCCCAAGCAGCGCAGCACTTGTTACCGGGGTTGTGGTTCACATGGGAGAGCGCTGCGTGGAGGGAGGAGAAGGGGGAGGGGGGAGG